TGCAGATATGTTCAATGCTATGAGAAAAAGTTAAAGAAATAATCAGCACAAAACTCAAAGTGGTAAGAAAAGATGGCAGAACTTGCAGTTAGATATGGACTTTGCATAGTAATTGTAGATTGTGGTATCTTATTAATAGTACAAAAACTATTAATTTTGAACTTTTATAGGCTAAACTGATACAATATAAGGAAATATAACATGAATTGCTATATGGAATGATATTTATAATTGCTTTATTTGGTGTGCTCTTTGCACAGATTGTAACACTTTCTGTCTGCTTTAAGGTGTGGCATCAGCTACTAGGGATTAAAGCTGGTATGTGTTGTTAACAGACTGATTTGCTTGTGCTGGGAAACCAAATTATATCTTGAGATAATTGGAATACAGTGAACTAATACCTTCCAATGTTTCCCAAAATGGCCATTTAAATCACATACAGAAATAATATAGAAGTATCCTGAATTTTATAATCTTGTATAGAACTTACTTAGAGTAAGTGAAACAATATTGTAATCCTCCAGTGAGTTATGGTTAATATATCTTATCAGAATTTTAAACTACCCATTTCAACTTAAGTGTAAATGTCTGAAAGAATAAATGCTTAACCAAGTTTATTCTTTATTTTAAAATATTCATATAATAAATATACACAAGTAGACATTTCTCTTTCTTTATTTGCATATGAAAGTGTTCAAAATCAGCTTATGAGGTTTAATGTGTACAATTAGTGAGTGTTTGACTATAGTGAAGAAGAAAATCTAGGAGAAAATGTCAAAAAGCCTCAATAACAAAGATGTAGTATTCTCTTGGCAAAAGCTGATGGATGACTTGGCACGAATTCATCTTACAGTTCCGTTATTCTTCCTTCTACAAAGATGATATATATACCTTTTCTAAGAGTTTGTACAGAATTGCCATTTCTTGTTGTTACAGACTATAATGACCCTTGGGTATGCACATGGTTTTCCTACTAGAATTACTTGCATTGTATCAGTGTCTAATCATATAACAGTTTGGGTTTCTGCAGAATGGTAAATTAATTAAACTAAACAAAAATTGAAAGACTGTTGTTATTAAAATATAGCTGAATTCAGAATTAGGGGCACAATCCAGCATAAATGCCATCACTAAAAATGAGAGATGGGTTTATTCATTACAGATGGACTGTAATTTCATATATTTCAGTTAAACTTACAATGAACAGATTGGCAGATAAGTATGAACAGGACTGCATTTTTAGTTATCACTTTTTGAAGGGTTGCACCCAAAAGGTATAATTGGGATTGGCTTAAAAAAAAATACCAAAGACATCATAAGGAAAACCCAGTTTAGTTGTGGTGGTATTATAATTCATTATATGATCCATTATATATGTAATGAAATAATGGTTACTTTGGGCACAATAAATGTTTTTATGGTAGTGACAAGATATCACAATTTAATAGACTATGCTTTGATTTACAGAGATGGTGTGATCTGTTGCTTGCTTTTAAGTTAATGGCATCCCTCTCATTGGCTTAGTTGATGGATGAGAATATGGTGTTTTAGGGATATCTCTGTATAGTGCATATTAATTGCATTAAACTATATATTAATTTTTAAATGCCAGTAGTGGCAGCCTACTATTATATAAATGCAAGTCATTTCTGTGGCTAATAATTTAACAAAATTGGAAGTAATCATTCTTTGGATTATCTACCATGCTTTACATACAGCAGATGTAATTTCATTGTTTAGGGACATAACGACAGTGCTGAAAATGTTTTACTCTCTTTAGGAAATTCTTGCTCTGCATACAAATTAACTGAAAATGTTGAAAACAGCCCCATATGTAATAATTCTATTAAAGGCATCATTAATGTAAATGATTATTAGGACTTTGAGACAGCTGGACACTGTAGCAAATGCAGAAATGTTGCTGCCACAGGCTGCTGGCCACAAATTTAGCAAATCTTGCCTTTGAGAACAGTACAGTCAGCAAAAAAAGTATACAATGTATTATTATTTGGTAAGAGTATGTTATCCAGAGAACAGGGGAAAAAAATACCAGATCTTAGAAAAAGGAATAATAAAACATAATTTGTATGCTCCCGATGCACATTTTAAAATGTATCATCAATTCTGTATTGTGGATTTTCTCACTTCTTTGGTTTTTTAATGGACTGATATTATTCTCTCTCTCTCTCTCTCTCTCTCTCTCTCTCTCATACATACATGCATACATATCCCCCCTCCCCATCTAGCTTCTTGCCTACCATGAAAATATTTGCATTAAGGAAAATTATAGTGATTATTACCAAAATTCAGCAATAATTGTGAAAATGCATCCTCAACCACTGTTTAGGATTGTATAGTCAAAGCTGATAATCAAAATCCAGCATTTTTCTGAACATGAAAGGGTGAAATACTCAGATTAACATACTGTACATATATTCAAGGGATGGAAGTCAACCAGTAATTCTTATTTGAACAGGGTGACTTGCTTTTAAATCAATAGCTGAAATCCTGTTGTAAACAGTGTAACTTTGGGAAGTGAACTGCTTCAAGATACAAATCTCTATAGACATTGTCTGTTGTATGGGACATGGCATACAGCAAATAATGTCTACAGAGATTTCTTAATTTGAGATTATTTGTTTCTGAAACTTACACCACTTGTGCAACTGTGCAACAGGATTTTAGCCAATATATCAGTTAATCAATGAATTAAAGTATACCTTAAGTACTGAAACAGATTGATATTTGATAGTTGTGATATTCAGTTTTATAACCTGCAATTCACTAGTCATGACATCTATATACATTTTGTCTGTACAGTGTCATTGAAATGAGGCTGTTCTATTTGGTGGATAGAACATGGAATCTGACTGAACATTATTACTTGAAGAACCATTTTAGAGGTCAGACTTAGTCCCTTATATTTCTTAATGACTTTGCTGGAAGATACTCTCAAGCCATGGAAAGGAGACATGGCTCAACTTTAAAGCATATGCTTTACATGTCAAAAGATCCTAGGTTCAATCTCTGACAGCTCTGGATAGGACTCAGAAAAAGGGAACATGCTATAACTCACAGTTGACAATACTGGGTTATGATTAATTTAATCACACATATATCTTGCCCATCCCTGTGAGCTCAAGGCATCATAGGTAGTTCCGCACCCCCATCCTCACAAGAATCCTGTGAAATGCTCGAAGCTAAAAGAGAGTGGCTCGCCCAAGATTACCCAGTAAGGTACAGTGATGTAATTGTCCAGTTTAGAGTAAGGCATCTTTCTATGCTCAAGTAGTAAGAAAGCCTAGGATTGTAATGCTGCAGCAGATTCTATATACATCTACTAAAAGTAAGTAATAATGAAGTTATATAGGGCTTGTTGATGTTTTGTTGTTGTCATGTCTGACTCTTCGTGACCCCATGGACCAGAGCACACCAGGCCCTCCTGTCTTCTACTGCCTCCCGGAGTTGGGTCAAATTCATCTCGGTAGTTTCGATGACACTGTCCAACCATCTCATCCTCTGACGTCCCCTTCTCCTCTTGCCTTCACACTTTCCCAACATCAGGGTCTTTTCCAGGGAGTCTTCTCTTCTCATCAGATGGCCAATGTATTGGAGCCTCAGCTTCAGGATCTGTCCTTCCAGTGAGCATATATAGGGCTTACTCCAAAGTAAAATGGTCATAGGACTGCAGCCTTATGTACCAACCTTTAATATACCTAGCTGGAAAGAACCAGCTAGTGATTTAGTTCTGAATACTAGGGCTGCTAAACCTATGAATGATATGATTCACACATATCATTTATGGGCCACCAGCCCTGATGACAGGGGACAGTCTACAGCAGGGATCAGGGAACTTTTTAATCTTCCCCCCCCCCAAAAAATTTTTATATATGCCAACATTATCCCACCCC